TATATATATATATATACACAATATATACAAATACATGTTCATGTACATATATACTTATAAAAGATGGAATAAAAATGTGATAATAATGATGATCAAGTTCAGATTATATACTATGGGAAAACTGTGTAATTTCAAAGTGTTAAAATTTTGAATTGAAAGTAACCGTAAGAGATTCCAAATTGAATCTGAATAACAGGACTAAGGGAAGAAGCCCTTTCCCCAAATAAATCCAATATTTTCTCAGTCCCAAAGCTCCTTTCAAAATGCTTAAGAGAAAATGAAAATAAAGAATCATATGTATTTTCTTATTCTAATTCTCATATTACTACTATTGTACTACAGATGGTTGCATATGTAGGATTTCAACATAAATTTGTTCCTCTTATATTCAGATTGTTACAGTAAACATTCAGTGAAAATACTATATAGTCTGTTTGCCTTATGGCTTACTATTCTGGTTCATGCTTGAAAGACAAAGATTTTCTAAAGTTTTTCCCCCCTCGTAGGCCTATCTTCATGATCCTAGAGAAACATTTCTTAGCAATAATCAAACAAATATGACAGCATTTCTAGTTACATACTAAAAACCATTTAAGTTACCTGCTTTCTATTGTATCTGCACCATTTAACATATGAACATACTTGTCTCTTGTACTTAGCCTTGTCATGATAACTGCTGTTGCTGTTGTATCAAACTGTGGAAAAATATATATACAGTACACCTTCAAGTATAGTAGAAAGTAAACAAACTGAAGTATTTGGGATTTGTACTTCTGAAGGCTTTAGGAATATTATTGTTGTGTTAATATTATTATTATGTTAATTCAAGACATCCCCCATGTCTTTTATTTGCTATTGAAAATCCCAAAAGGGAATTTCTGAAAAGTACTTTTACTTTAATTCAATTAAAAAAACACTTTACAAAGATAATGAGCAGGAATTATGTTTCACCCTCTATTAAAATATTATAAATAAGTATAAAAACAGGGGTCTCATTTAAGAGATGATCAATAAGGAGCATGAGCTGAACACTGCTCTAACAATTTTTTCATAAATTCATAGAATGAACATTAAAATATCAAGTTTTGGTTCTGTCTAGGAATAGAATTTATATGAAAGTTGCGCAAAATGGTACAATTGCCATCATTATACTTCATATACATTTTTTTCTTGCAGCCTTGCTTATCAGTTGCAAAAGTTAAAAAATAAAATTAGAACATTCTAGCTAGTGCTAACAACAAGCAATGTGAACTGCTGATACTTTTATGAAAATTCTTTTTTTCCTATTGATGTTCTACAGATTATTCTTAATTCAGAAACATTTAATCTTCAATTTTAAACCCTGGTAACAACTATACATTTTTTCATAAACATAGTTATATTAATTATTCAACAGTAGCTCTAGTGTGGTAATAAAATCTTTGACAATAAAATGGGCAGACATTCATTTACAACAAAATTAATATATCAAATGTGAGAGACAGTTTGGTGTAGTAGTTAAGGCACAAGGTTAGAAACAATGAGACTGTGACTTCTAATTCTGCCTTGGATACAAAGCCTGCTGTGTGACCTTGGTCCAGTCATATCTTCTCTGCCCTTTGAAGCAGGCAGTTGCACACCAATTCTGAAAGCTTGCCAAGAAAACTTCAGGGATTGACCCAGGCAGTTGCTAAGAGTTAGCAATGACTCCAAGGGACACGTACACAAAATCAAACGTATTAGTGCCAACTTTTACTAATTCCATATTTAACTTGCTTTAAGATAAATTCATCTTACTTGAGGTCTTCCTGCTCTCCCAATCATTTGCAAAATATCAGTTTCACTATACTCTTGAAACATTCCTCCAGCATAATGCATAGTTGATTTTATAACTACCAGGTGTGCTGGTAAATTTACTCCCATGGCAAGTGTACTAGTAGTAACTGTAAAAATGAAATATTGAACTTGTTACAAGAAATTAGTTTAAAAAAAATTGTGGATATACTATATTTTTGTAATATACTAGACTTTCTTCCTTTCGATACAATGAAGTGAGAAAAAAAGTTTGAATGAGTATTCGTCATTCAATTCTCCATCTTATAACATTGTATATTATATTTTGTTGACAAACCCCTATTATTTCAATCAAGTATACTCAAATATTATATCAAGTTGTAGCAAGACATTTCATTTTGCATATATCACATGCAACAACTGTGTAAGTATGGTACACGGAAGGTGGAGATATATGTAGCTCAGGATTAAAATTTTGAGATATTGCTGTTTGCTGATCTTGGTTTCTTCTTCCAATGTTTCATTACTGAATTAACTAATATAATCAGGGCTCTGAACAAGGTAGTTTACACATATAAAATTTAACAAACACCACTTGTTTGTGTCAAAACACTGAAAATGTTACTAGTTTGGTAATGAAATATGATATCTATAAGTAGTTAGCAAAACTAAAATTCAGAAAATCTGCAACAAAATAGGAATTCGATCTAAGCCCTCTTCATGTCCATAACCATTTACTTTTCCATGCTGTGCTGCCTTTGCATTTAGATAATTCTGAATAGCAATTTTTTAAAAAAATATTTATTAATTTACTAACTGGCCCTCTCAGAAATCCAGAGACCCAGAGTTTTCCAACTTTGGACTTTTATAGTTATAATAAAAATTAAATCTAACAGCACATAAAAATGAAATAAAAGTGCAAAAAACAATACTTCATCAAGCGTTCTAATTTAAGTATTATTAAGTGAAAAAGAGGCAAACATTCTGTCCCCATACCACATTTATAAACTATCATGATAAATTCGAATTTTACAACTTAAGGTTTTTAAAGATTATCTCAGTTTAAAAAAATGAACTCCAATCTCAAATTGGTCTACTTTAGATATACTATGTGAAAATCTAGCTGTTTGGAGAAAATTTTAATGCTGGGGAAAATGGAAGGAAGAAGAAGACCAGCATCAAAATGGTTACAGTAGTGAGGAGTGCATTGTTGGGAGAGCTGAAAGGAACAGATTGTTATGAAGAAATTCTACTCATGTGGTTGCTGACAGTCAACATTGATATGACAGCACATAATCAATCAATCAATTAACAAATCAATTAACTTTTTAAGGAAATAAAATATCAAAATTATTTTTATTCTGAAATGCCTTGTACTCACAAAGAACAGGTATGTCTCCCATATTAAAAGCTGCTTCAATTATTTTTCTGTCAGACATTTCTACTCCAGCATGATGATAAGCAACTCCACAAATTAGGAGATCTACAAATGAAATTCAAACTTGAATTATTGATTGTTTTCCCTTTATACATAATTATTATAGTTTCTCCAATTAGCATAACATACATACCCTTTAGCTTGGCTTCTTTTATTACATTTGCAGATCTTTGTAATCTTAAAGGAGAGAACAAGAAAATATGGCAGTTTCAATAAGTCATTAAATAAGTACAAAAAAGTAATAGTTTTTTTTTAAAAAAGATCACGCTGTTTGATTTCATCATGGTAAACTTCAAATTGGACTGGGATGAAAAATAGGAGAACCTCATTTATTACCTGATAAGACTAAAATAATTTCACTCGTTTCATGACAGTAATAAATAAAGGTTTTTAGTTCAGAAAAGGCTACAAATAAAATTTCCATTTTTAACTCATTACAAATTGTTCTCACACCAACTTCTTCATTCTTCAATGAATACATAGTTTCTCACGAGGCTTGGAGACCTGGCTATGCAATAGAACCTATACCATGGTTTCATTAAGTGTTGTTGGCTTTTTGTATACCCTGGTTGTGAATTGTGTTATATAAATGTTATATGGTTTTATATTATTTTATATTTTATACTGTATTCTTTTTTGTTTTACTTTTAATTATAAGTCACCCAAAACCATCTAATTGAGATGGACAACTATAAAATTGAAATAAATAAATTAAATACTTTTTACTGTACTGATACAGAGAAATATTTATATGGAGTATGCAATTAAAGCAGTAAAATTACTGCTTCAAGAAATTGACTGCAAATCAATGAAGTGTATTTTAAGGAATTGGGGGAGGACCTGGAAAAATAATGAAAATATTCAGCACTAATGCTTTAATTGTTGGTATCCGACAATTGTAAAACACAGAGAGACTTGTCTTAGATATTCCAAAAGCCATTACTTTACAAAAGGATGAATTCAATTACCTCATAAGTATGTGGTCTGATGCAATTAATTTGCACTCCCTGAAATAGTCCTATGAAAAATATTCTTAGCAAAATTACTTCACTATCCAATCACCACATGCTAACAAATAACGTAGTGATTCTATAGCAGTCCATTATAAATTGATGAGAAGCACAGATTTTGCTACATATAAACTATACATATGTTGTAACCAGGAGAAAGCCTGCATTACAAGGTACCTTTGTTTTTGTTCTATAGTCATAATAAATTTAGCATCTTTTGCTAGTACAGAAGCAGCTTGCTGAACTCCTTTCCTTGTGGCACAGAACTGTAAATAAGAAAATCCATTGTTTATAATAATTCTGAAATATACACTAGAACATGACAATTGTTAAGGGGGAAATTGTCATGCATACCACAAGTGTTGGCTTTTGTTCAGAGTATGTTTGAATAACACTAGCTACTTTATAGTTAAGTGTTAAGTCAAATTTGAATTCAGTTTGATTGCTACTGCAGGGAAATCCAAGCACAACTTTGTGCAGCTTCACTGGACGGTGTCTTTCATCTATTTTCAGGCATACAGCAGGCCTCTTGCCATCTGAAAGCCATTCTGCAATCTTTAAAGGAAAAGAAAACATGTTAGGATTGAAATTGGGAAAAAATGCCTTGGGCTGCAGTCCTGCAAAGACTTGCTCAAGAGGAACTGTACTTTAATCATGAAAGCTCCACTGGCACAAATATTTTTAGATTTACTGTACTGGGTATTCAGTGTGCTTATCTGTGTCATGAATACAAAGTACTGTTCCAGAATTTTTACCAAGATTTACCAATTAATACAGCTAAATACTGCCTACATGACTACCTTTCTGCTATGATAGAGTGCTTCCTACTTTATACGAAGATGGGTGAATGGAGAATGTTATCTATATGCAAGACATTAGATGTTCTGTATAATATTCAATCACTGCATCCCTGGCATAACAGTAATAAAAAAATGAGTAGAAACTGCAGTAAATGTAAATACTGAGAAAAGAAAACAATACAATTTCAGGAATCAGAAATAAACATTATGAATGTAGTAAATGAGTGATCCCTTATTCACTCAAGTAGGACATAGCAAACCATTCCTTCCTCTACATTCAGCCAAATAGCCAGTACACATATCCTAGTTGCCTAAGCAAATAGGCAGGAGAATCCATGACTATAAATGCAAACTGGGATAACTTCTTTTTTTTTTTTAGCTACAGAGGACAAATACTAGGTTATTTCTGGTATTCTGGCCACTAGCAGGTAGCAGTAATGCTGACAGAACTTTCCTAAGAAAAACCATCAGGAAATTCCCCATTCTGTTTAAAAAAAAATTATCCTGAGACAAATAGCAAACAGGAAAGTAGACATGAAAAGAAGCAGATCACTCAGGAAGACCAATGGAAAGAAAACATAGATTTTTTTTTCTATTGCAGTAAAATGTAAGCAAAATGAAGAGTGGAAAAATAACAACATGGGTTCAATAGATTAGTTTCCAGGAGAAACACACAACCAAGAGATGCTTGAGAAGGAGGGATTATAGTAAGAGCAAAGATAACCATTTCTGAACTGGAAGCATGGAAGGGCAACATGTCTGAGCCAAGAAAATATTTTGAGAACATAAAAGCACTGTTTGCAGGAACAATAAAAGTTTCTACATGATCAGAGTGGGACCCATGGTAAAAGCAGGCCAAAGTAGTTTGGCATTGGAGGTAAGATAAGACATTGAGGCATAAAGCAAAAATCTGTAGGGAGCCAAGAGGAGCTAAGAGGAAGTGCTTCTACAACTCTGACTGAAGGTTGCAAGGTATGAGAGTCAGGATTACTTAGGACAAGCTAGCTGGATAAGCACGGTAAGAGAAATCATTTCTATCTTAAGTAAGATTAGGGTTAAATTTTGCTTTTAGATTCTTTTGTTTTAAAATGTAGTAGTCTGATGCATTAGGGGATCAGGAGAGATATGACAGTGACTGCATATCATATCTGAAGAGCTGCCACAGAAGAGAGATGAATTTATTCTTTATTAATGGTTAAAACTACAGTGAAACAGATTCAGACTATATATCATGAGGGACAAAACTGATCGAATGAGAACCAGTGGAACAAGCTATAAGTGCAATCGTCCATGGCATGGACACCAGATGAGGTGTCTCCTAGAAAATAGGTAGTGACAGCAGAAATGTTCAAATGGATTCTCCCAAAACAGGAGAAAGGATCAGGATGTGAATTACCAAACTATATACAGTACTATTGGACTGAAATTCATGCAGAAGCCATGCTGACTGAGGTTTTAGGAAGAAAATTAAACTGTAAATATGTAATTCTCCCTTCAAGTCTTGCTGTGCTGTCTCATCATGATGGGGAGTGTTCCTGCAATGGAGGCATGAACAATGTAGGGATTATATGCCAAGGATCATCCAAGGTTAAACAAGCAACAGCAGCAGCAGTATAGGAACGTGCTGGCGGTGGATGGTCATTTTAGTGACAATAGCAAATGAATAATTTTATACTATGTGAAAGAAAGAAATGACAAACACACATTTTACTAAGAAAATCATGTGGATAGACAAAATAAAGTAATTGATGATATAGTGCTGGCTTTTTCAGGTTGGGTGGCACTGAATATTCTATTGAGGAATTTGGATTTTTGGGAGTACTAATGGTATTATGGCTCAGCTAGATTAAAGCTTTCCAGTTATCTAGTTGCTAATGTTGCCACACAGGAACAGAAAATCCAAAACTGCAAAAACAGAGTTACTGTAGGAATATGGACTGTCAGAAACATAAATGTAGGAAAGCTCAGCACAGTGAAAGATAAAATGAATCAACTATTTGGTAAGGTAGCACTCGAGGCTTTGAAAAAGATATTCAAGTGCTGTGAAGAGTCCGTATCTATGAAGACCAGAATCATGTTAGCAATAGTTTCCCCCAGGATAGTCTATGGGAACAAAAGTTAGATTTTGAAAAAGCTGGAGAGTTAGGGAATTCTCACTTCAGGTAAAAATGACACTGAAATTGTAACACATTGGACACATTTTGCAAAAATCTAATACTGGAAGAGCTGAAGGGACAGGTTTATCTATGCTTATGCTAAGAGCTGATACTGACTTGTGGTAATAAGCAATCACTTATTTAGAGATGACAGTGTGAAACAGAAACATTCACTGTTCTAAGCACATACATTACATACTTATGACCCATCAATGCATTTTGGAATACAATCATTAGATTGCCAGTACTGTAACCTATATCTATATTCAACAAATATGAGAGAACTACAGAGTTTTCACATCAAGCATAGCCTTTTAAATTTAAAGTGCTGTAATTATCCTTTCCTTTCCTTTCTGTTTTGGATATTTGATTTTGGATAGCAAGCTGTTGATCAGAAAGAAAAAAATCTTTTTGAAATCTTAAGTATATAGTATAGCGTATAAAAAGAAAAGTTAATTCATGTTTCTTACATCTTCTGCATTTGGAATTGTTGCAGAAACTGCCACAAATCTCATGGGAAATACTGAGCTAGGATTGTCAGAACTTTGTGAGAAAGAAGACTGAATAGTTTTCATTCGGCTGACCACAACTTCAAGAGTAGCACCCCGGCTCTCATCTTTTACAACATGTACCTATGGAATTAAATACAACTCTATATAAAACATCTACTGCTTTCCATTATTATATTTTAAGTCATCAATTACTACTTTACCTCATCAATCAGGATAAGTCTCACGAGCTGAACTAAAGAGTTATCTCTCCACTTTCTAGTCATGCTATCCCACTTTTCCTAAAGGATAATAGAAAAATAATAATATTGTAGTACAATCTAAATCATCTGTTTTACAGGATTCAAATAGTGTTGGTATTGTCAATAATTATTACTAACCTAGCAATCCACTTTAGCATTATAAATACTAACAATTATTTCAATATGTTTTTGTTTCAAGCTAGCAGCATACATGTATGTATGTATGTATGTTTGTATGTATGTATGTATATATGTATGGCATTCAGCTTTGTTCGGGTATTTTCCCACGTCATTGTAGTTGTGCTTTTAAAGTTGTAGCAACGTTTCGGCAGAATCTCATCTGCCATCATCAAGCTTCTGTATAGTGTTCATCTACACAAGCCTGATAATAGCAGATGAGATTCTGAAATGTCAGTACAACTTTAAAAGTACAACTATAAAGACATGGGAAAATACCTGAACAAAGCTGAATACCATACATATAAATACCCGCCAAATAAATAAATAAATAAATATACATATACATATACATATACATATACATATACATATACATATACATATACATATACATATACA